AGCTTACAATCTAAAGGGAGGGGAAGATGGTACAAAAGGTAAACGCTGCAGGGGATGATTTTATGGAGGTGACATATTAGGGGAAGTGATTAACAAACGTACAAAACATGTATTTACTATGTTGTAGTTTGCATTCAAGACATATTAAACTCTGTAAATGTAATATATGATAAAAGTCTTTCGAGTTCTACAACATATTCAGTTTGAGCAGCAATGTTTATATCTATGCCAACATTTACTCTTTTACTCTAGAAATTCGAAGAAAGCTGTTGATTCCAGGGAAGTTTCTTCTTGCCAACTTTTACAACTTATTTGTTTGAGTTATATCCAGGAAAGGGAATAAAATAGTGAGTTAGATTCTCTTCACCTCGCTGAGAGTGTTGTGATGCTGCCAGCCCATTACAACATTCCCTTAATGATCTGTAAGAAAGCCACAGAGCTGGGATCTCATCATACAGAGCACAGGAAAGGACCCTTTATCCTGAAAAACATTTGCCTTGTATGAGAAGACTTTACAGAAAGAATATGAGTTCAAATATTTTCATAATCCAAAACAGTATGTAACAGGCCATATGATTGGGAATTATGCAGTATATACAAACATTAAAAAAAAGATCACAGCATAACTGATCAAAGCTCAATTAATAGACAGGTCTTTACCATAGCTTTGATCTGGGAATGATCAGGTTTATGGCTTTGGAGACTGTCATATGTGCGGGGAGGAAACATTGACCAAAAACTCTTACAACTTGAGTTGGTGGATACATAAATGAAATGCCACCTGCTATCCAGGCCTGAATGAATCTTTAAGCTTTAGACCTTTTCTATAGTTACTATCCTGCTTTGCAATATTACCCCCACACCCTTTTAGCCATATGACATTGATTAGACTTGTCCTTATACAATCTTTATGGCTATTGTTAATTAAACGCTCTATAGCAGATATACTGTTACAGGGCGGCCCCTGTGTGCAAAATCACATGTATAAAAGTCATATTGCATTTCCGGGTGTGGGTTTCTGTGTCAATCACCAGGTCAATCACCGTGCTTACCTGCCGGTGCACGGTGATTACCAGCGATCACAGACAGGGAGAAGGGCTGCTTTGTTCACCAACAGTCCCCCTTCCTGTCGGTTTGGGCACACTGCTCTGGATGGCTGAACACAGCTATCTCGATCAGTGTGCTTACAGTGAAGAAACACACCCCTAGTAAAAACACTCCCATCACACAATTAACCCTTTGATTGCCCCCCATGTTAACCCCTTCCTGCCCAGTGCCATTAGTACAGTGTCAGTGCTTTTTTTTAGCACTGACCACTGTATTGGTGTCATTGGGGATGTCAGTGACACCAAGTCAGTTCCTCCCAGTGTCAGAAAGCCCACCGCAGTCCCCGCAGTCCCATTATAAGTCACTGATTGCTGCCATAAGTTTCTGATTGCCGCTATTATTAGTACACTAAAAAAAAAAATTCCACTATAACTTTCACGTAAACCAATTAATTTACACGTATTGGGATTTTTTTTTAGCAAAGACGTGTCACAGAATACATTTTGGCTTAAATTTATGACGAAATTTGGTTTTTTAAAATTTTTTTACTGGACATGTTTAATAGCAAAAAGTCCAAATTATTGTTTTTTTGCCAAAATTGTCAGCCTTTTTTTTTTTATAGCGCAAAAAATAAAAAAATGCACAGGCTATCAAATACCACCGAAAGAAATCTCAATTTGTGGGAAAAAAAGCACATAAATTTAATTTGGGTGCAGCACTGCATGACCGCGTAATTGTCAGTTAAAGCAGTGCCATAACGCAAACCACTTCTTTAACCGCTTTCAGACCGCCCTATAGCAGAAATACTGGTACAGGGTGGCATGGGTGCACAAAATCACGTATATATACGTGATTCACGCGTCCATGGTTTTCACACACCCCCAATAGCGGCAGATTGCCCTTCAGTACACCAGTAATAACATTTAACCCCTTGATTGCTAGGAACACGCTCATAAACAATAAACCTCCATTGCTAGTATAGTGTCTGAACGGATCAATATCTTTGATCAGATCAGCACTATACCAGCATTCACATTAGTATAGTGTCCCCAAAATCACAGCGTTAGCAGGGTCAGCCCCGGCACCTGCCAGCACCTGCGTTTAGCCCCTACGCTTACCCTACCCCCTTCTCCCCCAGCAAGTGCAGTCCCAATAGGTCAAACTGATAAAGAAAATGGTGTAGCGCTGTGAATACTGTGATATACTTGGTAAAAATCAATAAAAAAAAAAGATATCTTGGTTCAACTATTGGCGTGACACTGTATATGATCAATAAAAAAGATGTGAATAAAAACAACTTAATTCAAATATATCTGAAGTATGGAGTGTACCATGATTCAAACAAATAGAGAAAAAAATGTGAATGCATAAATGTGACATGGAGACACTTAAAGTGAAATCAACAGTGACCAAATCATACACTGTGACAATAGCAATATTAAATATATATTACAAAGTCCCAAGGATTAATGAAAAGTGCTAGATTTCAAATCTTCAACCATATATAATTTGCGTGCTCAAAGCTTGTGCCAATCTATCCGTCACCATCTGGTGTGCACGCTCACCAAAAATATTTGACCCTCAAGGAGTCATAGAGCATAATGTATCACCGGTGTTGTATCACCGGATGATCCCAGGCAGGATGGATCTCTCCCTCTGGCTGGACACAGGGTCAGCTCCCACCGTAATCAATCACTAAATGGTCAAACACCTTTAAGGGTATCTTCAATGGCTCATATGAAAGAAGTCAAAGAGAGAACTTGGAAAGCTTTAAACAAGTTTTTGAAGTATCTGTTTGAATTTGTGTCTATTCAGCCAAGAGAGAATTTGTGAGGTCAGCTACTGATGTTGGATGAGAAGATCTGGTTTGCCATTGGTGTTTCCAATGGAAAATCAGATCTTTTCAACCAACATCAGTACCTGACCTCATAAATTCTCTCTTTGCTGAATGGACATAAATTCAAACAGATACTCCAAAAACTTGTTTAAAGCTTTCCAAGTTCTGTTAGCAGCTACTTCATTTTCTGAAACTATAACTGAGTCCACCCCCCCCATTCATTGTGTCAGTAGGTTACTGTCACTTGACACACTGCACACAAAAACCGCAGTGTTCGCAGGATCAGGCCTGATCTCTGTTAGCACTTGCCAGTAAAGTTTGATGATTTATATGCAGCAGAGTGTCAGTACTAGTGCTGCTTTACCTTTTGGTGAAATGGCAAGCACCAACGGCCTAGTACATCCTGGTCTTTCACATACCAGCACTGCAGTATCACTTGGTGACATGGCAAGTTCCCATAAGTGCAGTACAAGCTGGTGCGGTGGCGAGCACAAGTATTGTCCCGCAGCCACCAAGAATTCATACACAGGCCCATAGAAGCCCTAGTATCCTTCCGGATGTGCTTGCAAATCCCAATTGGCAGCCCACAAATTCTGCAGCACCCGCATTTCCCCCATTCACTGCCCAAACCGGAATTCAGGTGAAAACAGCAAATTTAACTACTCCCCTTGATTTTTTGGAGCGGTTTTTCACAGAAGATCTGTATGCATTAATTGTGGATCAAAGCAAATTATGTGCACAACAATTTATTGCTGCCAACCCAAATTCAAACCTTGCCAGACCATCCGCATGGAAACTCATTACGGTTTCCGAATTTAAATTTTTTTTGGGCCTAACACTCAACATGGGCAATACTAAAAAAAATGAATTGCAGTTGTATTGGTCCACAGACCCGATTCATCATATGCCCGTGTTCTCTGCTGCCATGGCCAGGCATAGATATGAGAGTATAATGTGTTTTATACATTTCAACGATAACACACTCTGCTATCTTCGGGGTAACCCTGAATTTGACCAGCTCCACAAAATTCGGCCCCTTGTAAATCACCATAACCAAAAAATTTGCAGATGTCTATACTCCCCAGCAAAATATTTGTGTTGATGAGTCCCTCATCAATTTTTCTGACTGCCTTGCATTAAAACAATTTCTCCCCAGCAAGTGTGCCAGATATGGGGTCAAGATGTATAAGACCTGTGAGTGGGCAACAGGCTATACATACAACTTTCGAATTTACAAGGGAAAGAAAGATAGTCACATGGAGCCCCCGGATGCCCAGACTACATGGGGAGCAGTGCCAAAATAGTTTGGGACTTGGTGTCATCATTTTTCCATATAGGATACCACTTATAAGAGGACAATTTTTATTTAAGAGTGCCACTATTTAGACATTTGTACAATCTTGGAATTGGCGCATGTGGCACTGTCAGGGCTCCGGGTATGACCAGAAGTGTGTGGACTGACACAGGGAAACGCAAGCTTCAGATATGGTATAAATAAGACAATTTATTAAAGACTAACAATACAAACATAAACGCAGTGCACCAAACCCCAAGCTAACACAAATACATACAACAAGGTGAAACAAACCCAAACCTAAACTGATACAGATACACAGGTACATACACATATAGAGCACAATGTAATCAGGCAGGTCGATAACTATCGGGCAGGTAGGTACAGGAGGAGCAGGCGGAGAGAATGGTCGGGGTCACAAGCCAGGGATCAAACAGGAGAAGTCAGCAGAGGTCCGGATCAGGCAGGGTCGGCAACAAATCAGTCAGACAGGAACAGGAACAGGAATGCAGGTAACAAGATACAGGGGCCCATGGAAAAACACACACCAAGGCAGAGACTGCAGGTCTGGCCATCCCTTAAATACACCTGCAATCAGCCTCAGGTGTTTTGGCTGACTGCAGGGTTGAGTCTCTGATTGCTGAGAGCACCCGCTGGCCAGCCCTGGTACTGCAGCCCACAAGGCAGGTGAGTCCCACCATTATTGGCAAGTCCATTCCTGACAGTACCCCCCCCCAAGGAGCGGCCTCAGGACGCTCCAAACAGTCCTAGCTGGGCAAAATGTTCCACCGCCCGGGTCTGGTAACTGGCGGGATATCAAAGACTGGCACATCGGGCTGGACTCCGGGCAGAGGCACATCGGGCTGGACTCCGGGCAGCGGCACATCGGGCTGGACTCCGGGCAGCGGCACATCGGGCTGGACGCCGGGCAGCGGCACATCGGGGCTGGACGCCGGGCAGAGGCACATCGGGCTGGACTCCGGGCAGAGGCACAGGGCCCCCAGGAGGAGCGGCAGGCACAGGGCCCCCAGGAGGAGCGGCAGGCACAGGGCCCCAGGCGGAGCGACAGGCATCGGGCCCCCAGGCAGAGCGACAGGGCACCGGGCCCCCAGGCGGAGCGACAGGCACCGGGCCCCCAGGCGGAGGGCAGGCATCGGTCCCCCGGGTGGAGCGCCGGGCCCCCAGGCGGGGCGTCAGGCTCCGGGCCCCCAGGCGGGACGGCAGGCACCGGGCCCCCAGGCAGAGCAACAGGCACCGGGCCCCCAGGCGGAGCGGCAGGCGCTGGACCCCCAGGAGGGGCAGCGGGCACCAGGCCCCCAGGCGGAGCAACGGGCACCGGGTCATCAGGCACGACAGTGGGTTCCGAGTCAACTGGCATGACCGCGAGCACTGAGTCAGACATTGGATCGTCTGGCTCGACAGCGGGCATCGGGTCACCAGGCATCAGGTCATTTGGCTCGACAGCGGGCACGGGTCATCTGGCAAGGCAGTGGGCACCGAGTCACCAGGCACGACAGTGGGCTCTGAGTCAATTGGCACGACAGCGGGCACCGGGTCATCAGGTACCGGATCGTCTGGCTCGACAGCAGGCACCGGGTCATCTGGCGCTAGATCGTCTGGCTCGACAGTGGGCATCGGGTCACCAGGCATGACAGCGGGCACTGGGTCATCAGGCATTGGATCGTCTGGCTCAACAGCGGGCATCGGGTCACCAGGCATGACATCGGGCACTGGGTCGCCAGGCATTGGATTGTCTGGCTCGACAGCGGGCATCAGGTCACCAGGTATGATAGCAGGCACTGGGTCACCAGACATCAGGTCATTTGGCTCGCCAGCGGGCACCGCGTCATCTGGCAAGGCAGTGGGCACCGAGTCACCAGGCATGACAGTGGGCTCCAAGTCAACTGGCTTGACTGCGGGCACTGGGTCAGACATTGAATCGTCTGGCTCAACAGCGGGCATCGGGTCACCAGGCATCAGGTCATTTGGCTCGACAGCGGGCACTTTGTCATCTGGAGCTGGATCGTCTGGCTCGACAGCGGGCATCGGGTCACCAGGCATGACATCGGGCACCGGGTCATCAGGTACCGGATCGTCTGGATCGACAGCGGGCACCGGGTCATCAGGCATTGGATCGTCTGGCTTGACAGCGGGCACCGGGCCACCAGGCATGACAGCGGGCACTGGGCCATCAGGCATTGGATCGTCTGGCTCGACAGCGGGCATCATCGGTCACCAGGCATGACAGCGGGCACCGGGTCATCATCAGGTACCAGATCGTCTGGATCGACAGAGGGCACCGGGTCATCTGGCGCTGGATCGTCTGGCTTGACAGCGGGCATCGGGTCACCAGGCATGACAGCGGGCACTGGGTCATCAGGCATTGGATTGTCTGGCTCGACAGCGGGCATCGGGTCACCAGGCATGATATCGGGCACCGGGTCATCAGGTACCGGATCGTCTGGATCGACAGCGGGCAACAGGTCATCTGGCGTTGGATCGTCTGGCTCGACAGCGGGCATCGGGTCACCAGGCATGACAGCGGGCACTGGGTCATCAGGCATTGGACCGTCTGGCTCGACAGCGGGCATCGGGTCACCAGGTATGACAGCGGGCACCGGGTCATCAGGTACCGCATCGTCTGGCTCGACAGTGGGCATCGGGTGACCAGGTATGACAGCGGGCACTGGGTCATCAGGCGTGATAGGATCATCAGGCTGGATCAGTTCATCAGGCTGGGTACAGACATCAGGCTGGGTAGAGACATCAGGCTGAAGTGCGGGTGCCGAGGCACCAGGCTGAACCACGGAAGGCAGGTTCTCAGACGGCAGGCTCACCGGTTTGGATACTGGCAGGATGGTACTGGTTGGAAAGAATTTTCGCTTTTTTCTGGTTTTAACTACTGGAGCACTGCAAGTAAACGCAGGTCTGCAAACGAATGGAGCAGCTGAGGACAGAGAAGAGCTGGAAGATGGAACAGAGGAGGGAGCAGTTGCTACAGAGGACTTCTTTACAGGGTTAAAGAAAGGATAGGTGCAGCGAGTGGGAGCAGAGGACTGGTATGTGGTAGTTAGCAGAGTATACTGGGCCGTCACTGGGGGTGCTGTCGGGGATGTAGGAAGAGTGCCTTGAGTGGAGGAATGACGTTGCAAGCTGACTGAGGCTGGGGTGCAACAAGTCTGACCATGTCTGCAGTATGGGTTGAACAAAGCTGAGCTTACACAAAGCCTGTCTGGTCAAAGACTGCACTGCGTTTATACAATCCCTTAATACCTGTGGTGAATCATGCAGCATAATGCTCCAAGAAGCAATCCACATCATCCTCTAATAACCACACCAGGGACTCTACCCTGGTCTGCACTAAATAGTGGCAAAAAGTCATTCCTGCTTTCAGGGGTACCAGATGAAGCCAACTCTACACAAACCTGAATCAAAGGTTGCACCTCAGAGAATTCTGTGCCCTGATCTACTAGAACATGAGCGATCCGTATACATTCTAGCAGTTGATCCGGGTATACTCCCTCAGAGTCTGATAAGCATATTCTCTGTCATCAAAAACCAGCAGTCGACCAGCGACAAATACACAACCTCATCAAGATCCATCCTTCCCAGCAACAAGCCAAGATGGCTTCCCTGTGCAGCCACTTCTGGTCAGGATTGGCCTTGGTGTAATGTCAGGGCTCCGGGTATGACCAGAAGTGTGTGGACTGACACAGGGAAACGCAAGCTTCATATATGGTATAAATAAGACAATTTATTAAGACTAACAAATACAAACATAAACGCAGTGCACCAAACCCCAAGCTAACACAAATACATACAACAAGGTGAAACAAACCCAAACCTAAACTGATACAGATACACAGGTACATACACATATAGAGCACAACGTAATCAGGCAGGCCGGGTCGATAACTATCGGGCAGGTAGGTACAGGAGGAGCAGGCGGAGAGAATGGTTGGGATCAAACAGGAGAAGTCAGCAGAGGTCCGGATCAGGCAGGGTTGGCAACAAATCAGTCAGACAGGAACAGGAAGGAGAAGAGGAAGAGGAATGCAGGTAACAAGATACAGGGGCCCATGGAAAAACACACACCAAGGCACAGACTGCAGGTCTGGCCATCCCTTAAATACACCTGCAATCAGCCTCAGGTGTTTTGGCTGACTGCAGGGTTGAGTCTCTGATTGCTGAGAGCACCCGCTGGCCAGCCCTGGTACTGCAGCCCACAAGGCAGGTGAGTCCCACCATTATTGGCAAGTCCATTCCTGACAGGCACTGTGTGACCTAATGCATGTGTGCCCACAATTAGAAGTGGGTAGATGCAGGGCGGTATATTCAATCTAATGGTGGGGCATACCACAAACTTTTTACGGTAGAGATTTCTTCTCTTTTTTTCATTCAGCCCACAGGCTGCATAAAAAAAAAAAAAAGAACAGAGCATATATACCCAAACAAGGACCAGTGACATACTGGTACACACCACTGGACTTTGAATGGTTATACCACGACTATGCCTACAGCTGCAGGCATCATCCTGGTATTGTTTTTTTCAGCCGGCAATGGGCTTTCATGTAAAAGCAATCCTAGTGGCTAATTAGCTGCAGGATTGCTTTTACAAGCAGCAGGAGATGATACCCCCCCCGCCTTCCACGGCCTTCTTGGGCAGTCCCATGCCATTGAGGGAAACCTGAGAATGCAGCCGGTGTTTCTTACAGCTGACCATAGAGCTGATTTGAGGCTGGAATGGTGTCAATCATCTTTATAGTCTAAGAAAATGGGAAGCTGTACGAGCATTTCATCACTTAAGTTTCGCAGGATATAAACAGCGCCATTTGTAAATTGGGAAAGCATCTGATCACACTGATCTTGGTGAGATTAGATAATGTAAGAGCAGAGGAGATATCTAGAGTCTGATAGACCCCAAGAAGTTTCTCAAAAAAGAATTATATTGACAATGCCCATTGAAGTTATAGGGGATATTTGCATTCCCTTAGTGATAGCATTAAAAGTGAAAAAAATGAAGGAACAGTGTGAGAAAAATAATTTAAAAAATCAAAATAACTTAAAAAAAAAGCAACTTCGCCGCCCCCCGCCCCCCGTGCGGCGACCGTGATGACCCTGATCCGGTATTAAACAGCGGTTGCACCATGAATGTGAGGTATCAACGTGAAATGTCAGATCAAAGGGCAGTAATTATAGCACTAGACCTCCTCGGGATATTCGTAATAAATAGTAGCGTGTAAAGGCTTTTTATTAGCCATTGCCTGGAGATGGGATATTATAATATGTATGCAGTTTGTCTCTATCGGGAATCGAGGAATGGCAGCACTGTGGGAAGGTTCATGGGTCTTGGTATGGGTGTTAAGTGGCCATACACAGGTGAACCGTTTAGTATTTTTACCAAAGTAAGAGTACCAAAGATTATTGATTGTGTTTTTGTGCATTTAAAAGTAAAAAATAGTGTATTTCTTTTTCAATTCAATAGTTGTCGTTTGAAAAATGACTGTGCGAGTACTATGTGGCATAAAAATTTGCAGCTCCCACCATGCTTGTTGTGAGTAATATAATTTAAATACAACTTGTGTAAAAAAAAAAATGTTTTTTTAATTTTACAAAAAATTGTGGAAAAAAAAAATCTTTCCCTGGACCAATGGCCCTGATTCATAAGATGTGAGGTAAAGCGAGGGCTGACCATCAGGCAGACTCCGGGCAATCAATCAGTCCGGGTTTTGACCAGCGTCACAAGCTCATTGCGGCGTTATTGACTACTTTTAAAACACGGCACATTTTTAGGTGCAATACCCGGGTATGTTCGCTAGATGGGCACAAGCGCGGGCTTTTTTGAATTGGCGTTCTTAGTTGGGAAAAGAATTTT